TTGTCGAAACATGCTGGTGTGGTCCTGACATTCCTAAATACACCGCAAGTTAAAGTCAGACTATTCACCATCAAATGATCATTTTATATTTTTAACATTCAAAATATACTTTTCGTGCGATCCGCTTTCTGCCTGTAAGTAATTTCGAAACAAAACTGTCAAAACATTAGCCGTTGGAGCAACATGTCAGTATTTGTATGGCCCTATTCTGCGCATTAATAAGCGTAGAACAGCGCCGAAAATAGAATAATGATAGCGAAAATTGCTTCAATATAGAGTGCAGAGTATTTTCATCAGTTTGCGGCCAAAAATATAAACGTTTTTAGGAAAGTGAAAAAAACAACCAGGAGTGTCAGTTTTCCTTGGTTTAGAAATTAAAAAGTTAAAATATGTGGCAATTCACCAGCAGAATACAGTATTAAAGTCCTTTTCAAATAGGTTACTTATTAGAGAATGCCCTTAAACAGACAGAAAGCATATTTGTGGTTGACTTTTTTTGTGGACGTTCATTTCGACAAAAGGTCTTCATGACCGGGCAGGTCTTCAAACGTGACCCAAACGGCCATCTACAAGGAAGCGAACGTCCAGGTACTCACTACCTCGGCAAAGGAGTTCAGAAATTCCTATTTATGGGCATTCGATTAAAAATACCGGAAACCGTCAAGTGTGCCCTGACATTTCGCGACGACCCGGAATTCAACAGACTTCACTGTCACCAAAACCCGTAAATAAATTTGACAAAAGTGAAGCAACTGGGTGTGCTTACGATTGCCTCTGTCAATCCTAGTAAAATCTGATAATTGTTGACCGACCCGTCAGTATGCGATCATATGGAATATTTAATTACTCTGGCTTTCCTATCAGAGAAATAGAGCGAAAGCCAGTAATTGTTCTCCATTACAGACTTAATTTCAGTTTATAGTTCAATCGCCGATGTTTGCGTATGGGTGCTCCCTCATTGTCAGCACTTGGTACGTTTTCCTGAAGTACTTGCCCGTTTGGGTGGATTTAGTCCCGTGTTGTCTGGTTTCCATGACGACACCGCGTGGCTATTCCAAATGCCGGTTGATTAAATCTAAGTTACTGCACTCAGTAAATCACTTTGGACGTTTAAGAAGTGACTAAATTATAATGTTGTCTGTTACTCCCCGTCTTAATACTGACTCCGTCGCATCGGAAAGTTTTTCTTTTTTAAAACTGCCTTTTCCTAAAACGCCTGGTTTCCAGCACCTCCGAGAAATTACTATAATTAGTGGGCAGAGTGCATCCTTAATTAAATGAACTGCATAATTACAGAGTTCCTTCAATCAGCAAAACTATGGGTTGACAGTTCGACCATCGGTTTCGATGATGTCCACCGTGTGCCCCACAGTTGCAGCAGCAATGGGAGCAGGGACGGTGACTTACGCAGGGGTTTATAGTGCCGGTAGACTTGCGTAGCATCTACCCACACTCTCTCCTCCTCCCTCGCCCGAGCGCGGTGTCAAGACAGAGTCAAGAAGATCGGAGACGAGAAAGGCCGCAGGTGGATGGCTCGGACGGATCCTCACCTTGGCATTCCACCACACCCCCTGGTCCGCACAACAAATGACCAGGACTTCAACGAACATAACAGAGATTTGGAGGCTGGCACGGCCGAAGCCGCACCTGGGCGTGCCGCCAACGCCTGGCTCGGATCCCACACTGTGATGGGAGTGCCATAAAGGCCACATTAAAAAGGAGCCATTGCAGCCTGACTCTCAGACCGCCTCCGGTCAAGCAGGAGGTCCAAGTTACCCCGTCAGTTGGCAACCTTCCAAGCCACGGATTTTAGCACACCGTGATAGCTTCAAGCGCGTCAGACTGTTTATAGTGAGGAGAATGTGCGCTGAGTCGTCGACCTCACTCTCCCTTCCCACTCACACACCCCAGTCGCTGTCCGAGCCGGTCAGCAGACTGGAGTGGGGAATGGGCGCGGTGGCTGTCATGGTCGACTGACCATGACTGCGCGCGCCACGGCACGACCTGGCCCCCATACACACAACACCAGGATTTCACACAACGGGGGTTGAACGGCGTGTCTCCCACTTGCGTGAGAGTGCCGTGGAAGGTGCTGTTTTAGCCCGACCCCAGCCCACCTGTCCGCCACTCCACACAACACACACACAACGCGACGAACTGCGTGAACCGAGAGCGGGCGTCGGTCAGCAGCCTTCCTGTCCACGACGCTTGACGTGTCGGGATAGTCTCGGACTCAAGTCACCCGTGCAGCCGAAGCCGCATGGGGACCGAGTTGAGATGCGGACTTCCCACTTGCGTGGGAGATGGCAGTTGGGTGCATGAGGTGTGTGAGTGTTGATTTCTGGTGGGGTGAAGGTGGTGTTGATGTGGGGTGGGGATGGTGGAGGACGTAGGGAGTGAGTGAATGTGTGGTGTGACCGGCGGTTGTCTACCGCAGGTCGTCGTGAATGCGCATGTGGCCGAAGAGACCCATGCGACGCCTGAAAGTGCGAGGACAGTGTGGGCAGTGGAGACGGGCGTGGTGGGTGTAGGTTGGTGCTCCAGGCACTAGTTCGCCAGTCTCTGTGTGATGGATTCGCAAGTGACCGACCAGGCCGATGCGTGAGGTGAATGTGCGTGGACAGTGTGGGCATGAGAAGTCGGCGGTGTCAGTG